ATAATAACGGGTACGGCCAGGGATACCCCACTCGCTTTGTGCACTCCGCTGCTTGCCGCACACTTGTTCCTTCGATTCCCGGTGAGAGGGTGACGGCCGACTACGACTCCAAGGTAGTTGATGTAATAATCTATTTTGCTATACTAGCACCTACCCAATCCACGGTAATGCCACACGATTTGTCTTATCAGACACATTCAAGCGCGCAGTGGAATAAGAGCCCAAGGAAAGTATGGGCACGCGCAGTGGGTCATTACGGCTACTAGTGGCGGGATTCTGCGTCGCTGTGCTGATTGTGCTTGCTGGTTCTTCAGCGCGGATCTGGTCTGGTGAGTGCATACTGTGCGATGAGTGTGTGCAAGTGCTTTTGGCTGCCTGTTGTTGGCGCTTTGACGATTGCAGTGCTCTGTTCCACTTTCACAGGTGCGCCTGTGGTTTACCACGAGCCCCTGCGGCAGACGTCATCAGTGCTGCCCCCGCCGCCAGTTGCCAGCCAGCAACAGCCCTGCCCAGCACCTGCAACAGCGGTGGCGGCCGCGCACCTGCTGAAAAATCCAGTGCAAGCGGCGCCCACACTGCTGTGTACTCCACCAGAATTGAGATGCCTGCAGTTTGAGACGCACGCGGGTGTCACAGCAGTTCCTATCGGCCAGCGTAGGAAAATCATCTGGGAGCCGACAGGGCATTTCGAGGAGGCAGTACCATACCGTCACGGCTGGATGACAGGCAACAGGCTCTCATCCTATTGGAATGCGCGTGCCATGGCTAGTTTTGCTGGCGATGACTTTGAGGCTGGTCCGCACCTCAGCAAGCTCTTCAATACAACGTTTCTAAAGTACCTACCCCTTCACGTGCCAGCTCCCGCATGCACCAACCCACTGGCATACATGTCAGGTTGCCTTGGATGCACGTTGAACGGCCAGATGTCACGCCTATTTGTGTTCCCTCATGAGTGCAACGGGGCGTGGACAGCGTTCCGGGAAACCATCCGTACAGAGACTGCTGCGGCGCTCATGAAGTGGCATGAAGCGGCGGGCAAGCCGGTTCGCGAATTTGGCGCAACAGACACTGTCATACAGTACCGCTGCGGTGAAGAGACACTGCTGCTGGCCCAAGGGTGAGAGCGCGAGCGAGGTTGGACGCCGTATGCGCTTGCACCGCATGTGTCCTGGGTCCACGTCGAGCACGCTTGAGTATGGGCAGTGCGCGGGCAGGCGGAAGCAAAACAACATCGGCCTGCTTGCACTGCATCGCCACAGAAATTGTTGGTCGCAGATCGCGCAATCCACTTTCCAACGTGGCCTGCATTCAGAACTCATGCTATGCAACCCACCTCCTTGCGTAGGTATGGGCCCTTGGCGTACAGTTGCTACAACGTCATCCCAATCAACACCACTGCCATCTACATCGTAGCGAACCCCTCCAGACACCCACCATGTGTTGAATTGCTAAATGATCTCAAGCAGTTTTTGAAGCAGTTGCGACCAGGCGCCGCCATTCACGTGTTGACAGGAAGCGTTGAAGAGGATTTCGCGGCGTTTTGGAAGGCGCCCTACTTGATCAAGAATGGGCAGAGCACGTTCAGCTTATGGGCAGCGCTCGCAGGGTACGGCCAAACGTATGCAATCCCGATGGCTGCTGAATTTGCCGTGAACACCACGCCTGCCCTTGGACCTGGCTGGAATTGGCGCACATGTCCACTGCTAGAACCGGCCATTGGCAAGACACAGAATATAAGTACTGTGCAGTCCATGATCAAGTGGTTGAGAGCAAATTGAATTGTTCCAGAAACTTGCGCGATTACGTGTGCAATCAAGTCTGTAGCTGGATACCGATGTTTGTGGTGTGCTGTCAACGGTGCCGCCGCTCCAACGCATGTTGTGCACGAATATGTCTGATGAGTGTGTGAGGAAACATGGAAACTCAGTCAGCCAGCGGGTGTTGCGAAACAAGAGGCCTGGGTCACGGCGGGCACTGCACGCTGCCAGCCAACTATGCTCCCGGTAATCTGTTTCGGGCTGCCTTGCATGCCCTGGGTTGGCGGGCATGTGGCTATGAACGCCCTCTGCTCTGACATGCGCCAGGTGTGATGGTGACGACGGCAGCGGCAAGCAAGGTCAAGTGGCGTGACGACCGTCAGCGGGTGGATGGGATAGTGCGTTCAACATGCAGCTCAGGAAATATCCAGCACAGCAAAAATATAATGGGCAGCAAACACTGCATGTCGGAAGCACATACTCAAATTGAATCATCCTTCACAGCATAGCGAGATTATTCACACTCCTGGTTCTACATGGGGCGTGCTACGTCCAGTCTCTCAACACCCCATTAGACCAGAAGGCCCCGCAGGTGGCTGCCCCACGCAGTGTGTGTGCCTTCCATCACACAATCTAGTAGCATTTGTTTACACGTGCGGGTATGCGACGCGGTGCTCAGCCAGGCGGTTGGGAGCCCCAAGCGGTGCACAAATCAGCTGGCAGTCGCACTGCAAACCGTGTGTGTGCTTGTTGTCGCGAAGTTGATGCGTGCCAGCATGCTCATGGTGCTGCAGCTGATTCGTGGTTGATTTGTTAACTCTGCCACGCTGCCGGGACGCTATCTATGTATTTCGACAAGCGCGGTGCATTCGCCGATCATCTGCACACTGATACAATACATCGCAAGGTTGCTTGCTGCAAAAGTCACCCGGGATATTACGGTAGGAGAGGTCCTGACAAGAGGTGTGACCAAACTTTGAATCGTGTGAGAGCTGGAGTGCGTAAGCGTGCAGCCATCCGGAAAGAGCTTTCTAGGTGTGTCGCAGCAACAGCGCGAACCCCCTTTTCTTCCAAACCTCATAGCTGCGCTGATCTACTCATCACAATGCATCGCACAGTGCCCACAAGCCGAAAGTCATTTCTGCCCAACATATGTGCTGTCACTGCTGCAGTGGTGCTGACGTTGATTTCCGGTATCGCCCTCTTCCCTGCACCAGCTAGCCGATTGAAACAGGGTGCTGTGCACAAACCAGATCGGCACATCCATGCTGGATCACCGCCAAGTGCAGGGCCGCCATCAAGTAGTGCAGCTGCGCCACTGCCGAAGTTGCCAAGCGGCGACCCGCACCTGGAGGCTGTCCTGAAGGGCTGTGGTGATGTGTGCCGGGACGATATGACTGGGGAGCCGTCAAAGTTCTTCAACCACCTCACCAAGAAAGTGGACTGCCCAGCCCTCTTATCGAATGCTGCCATCGATGCATCTATGCAAGATCCAGAACCGCCTGCAGCCATCCCGGCTCATATGTTGAACGCCTTCACGTATGGCGGTCGTGTTGCCATGCGCAGATACTTCGACGGCGATAAGGTGCGGCACTGACGCGTTAGAGGATCAACATGTTTGAACATCCCCAGCACACCTGCCTATTAGGGGTCATATTCGCTCACCCGCAACTGTGCGTGGAGTAAACTAGATTGTGTGTGTGTGTGTGTATACATGTGTGTGTGTGTGTGTGTCGGGAGGGAGGGAGGGGGGCGAGAGGCGCACATATTCGTGCGCGCATGTTGACGCCAGCCCTGCATGCCAGCCCTGCTTTCGCTGGTACGCTCTCAGAAGAGAACTAGGAGCAGAACTTTGGAGGGCGCTCAGTTGGGGATGCATGTAAGCGGTCACTGCTCTTTCTTGCTTTTGCAACAGCAGCCGGTTGCAACACTGCATGGCCGGCTGATGCACCCTCCTTCCACCACCTTGAATACTCTTTCCAACCACCCAAACTCTCAAAGGTCTTCAATGAACGATATTTGGGGGCCAGCGCCCTTGTTTCAAACTGGACTGTAGAGATGGTCGACAGTTGGAGCGCTCAGTGCGGCAGGCGCGAGCTGCCTGGGACGTACGGCGTCGCTGAAACAAACAAGCTGCTGGACGCTCTGGATCAGATGGAGTTGACAGGCAAACACGTCTTGGTGGTTGGCTCTCAGATCCCTTGGGCTGAGGCGTGCGTACTGAGCAAGGGAGCGTCTCACGTGACCACAATAGAGTATGGCAGCATTAGCACTACCCATGCAAAGATGACCACGTTGACTCCAGCTGACGTGCGTCGTGATGCGAGCACGTACGTAGAGCGTTTCGACTCGGCCGTCACTTACTCTTCAGTTGAACACAGTGGTCTTGGTCGCTACGGCGATGCCATGAATCCTTGGGGGGACCGCCAGGCGGTTGCCCGCATCTGGTGTATGGTAAAGCCCGGGGGCCGGTTGGCAATAGCTGTGCCTGCAGGCGACGATGCGATTGTGTACAACGCGCACAGATCGTACGGCAAAGTGCAGCTACCGCATTTGCTTGCCAATTGGAAACAATTGTGGCAATCCCCAGTCGGGTATCACACTGCGTATGTTGTGGAAAAGTAATTGCATCACATTGGTGATAATTGACACTCTGCAATTTGAATACCACGCCAGCTGAAATGGCCAGCACACATCGCACAGCCCGGTCATTGACTTCCGGGTGGCTTCGCGCCCACGCAGCGACGCCCGGCCCGGCTACCTTAATGCAGGGCAGGCCATGTTTGCTTCAAAAAGGCGCGGCCGGCAGGATTTCAACCTACGCAAAAACTCCCATTCGATTTCAAGCCAGTGACATTGCTAGGCAACCGACGCGGCGCTGAGCTCGCAGCAAGTCCATGTTGCGCCGGCCTGCGCCCCCTTGGCAGCGGACGCCCGGCTCAGGCTGCACAGCGTGCGCCTGTGCTGCTGACCGGCTGAGACCGCCGACACACAGTGCAAGCTGTTCACCCGCGAGGTGACGCGCGCTGGGTTATGCTGCTGGCGTATGCATGCAACTGGATCGGTGCCGGCTTGCCCTGACAAGTACGCCCTGATGCTGCTAGCCAGAGCTACTGTCCGCGGTGCATCCTCATGGGACTATATGTAGGCTGCTGCCTTGGCTGGCCAGCGCTGATCTGCGTCCAAATCAATTTTCATTTGGCCTTGTTGGCAACAGTGCTGAACAGAAGCACGACATGACTGTTACACCTTGCTCACGATGAACGTCGCAGCAAAGACCAGCCGTGCAGGCAGCAGCCGGGTGCAAAAGCTGGGCAGGCATGGGTATCGGGTGCACCAGCCACCTGGCAGCTGCCGCTGCTGGGTGGCGGGGGAGCTAGTGGTGCAGGGCGGGCCCCTGCTGTGCGTGACACCCAGTGCAGGGCAAGTGCCGCCGCCGCCGCCGCCGCCGCCATCAATTGCACCGTCGCCGCCGACTCCTCCACCGCCATCGCCATCGTTGGAGGTGCTGCCGTCGCCGTCGCTGATGCCCGATGATCGCATGCACGCCGCTACATGCTGTCCAGCCACCACATTCCATTGCACGAAAGGGTGGAGCGGGGTCAGGCACTTCTGACGCCCATTTAGCTGTATTCCGCATACGAAACTCCCTGATTCGCAGATCATATAGCAAACAGGCCCCAGCGGCGATCGCCATTGCCAGCCGCACGGGGGACGCGGGCGGTGGTGGCAAGCGCTCAGCCGCACCGCTCGCCGCTGAATATTCGGCAGCGGCGGCTGCGCTGGCCCGAAATGCAACCACACCCCATGTAGTCCCCGCGCTCGCCGCCGCCGCCGCTGCCGACTCCGTTCCTTGCCGTCCTGTCGCCAGTGAGCCTGTCGCCGCCAATCAGGGTGTTGCTGTGGAGGACGGCCCCAGTTGACGGGGCGTGGCAGGCTGGCAAGCAGGGCCGCTGCCCCACGCGCCGCCCACGCACGCTCTCAGTAGCTACGCTGCCCCGCCCAGCCAACTGCAATGGCAGTCACGTGTTGTACGCGCATGGCCTCAGGCTGTCTCGGCTGGCAGTTACGCCCGGGCTTCCGTTGTCCAGCTGCTGCTGCTGCCACTGCTGTCGCTGCCGCCACTGGCACAGCTACGGCAGCCGCTGCTGCCGTTGCTGCCGCCGCTGCCGCCGCTGCAGCCGCTGCCGCCGCTGCCGCCACTGCCGCTGCACCTCTGAGCGCACCAGACGCGGTTGTGGCTGATCACTCTCCTGCTGCCAGAGTCGTGTCCATCCTTCGCACTGGGCTCGCTCCCACTCATCCCTCCAAAATCCTGTCGGGCCGCGCGCCCAGGCCTTCTCTAGGTTTACATGTCTTTTACCGCTGTTGCCGTTGTCGCTGACGCCCACGCCGCTGCCGCCGCGGCCGCCCCCATGGGCGCTGCCGCCGCCGCCCGGTGGGCCTTCACCTTGCCAGAGGCCTCTGGTGTGTTTATATAGCAGACAGCGCCCTCGCCATCTCCATGGCCTTGACAACTGCAAGACAAACAAGGACGACCGTGCCAGACCTACCGCACGGCACCCAGCTATGGGCAGCAGAGCCACACCTGGGAGCAAGGCGGCCCGCCTGGGACAGGAGCAGTTGCTGGAAAAGCTGCCGCATGGCCCGCGCTACCCCGCAGTCCCAGTAGACGTATGATTAATACAAGCTTTTTTTGCTTTGCTTTGTTACAAGCGTCTAGGCCAGCTAGACTCCTCCCGCCACTGTGACCAACCGGTTTGAAGCAACAACTTGCGTCAACACAAACTAGCCGCCCAAGGCAGGCGGCAACACACGTAACACCAAACAAGCCAAGGTAAAGCTGCAGATATACAAGTAGAGCAATGAGGGCGCACTGCACACCCCCAGGAGACATGCCTGGCCCTGGGCCCTGGGGCCTCTCAAGGGCACAGGCGGGCCGCAGGTCTCACCGCCTGCGGCGACGGTAGCGCGGTACCCGCACCCCCGCCCCCCTGTCGGCGTCCCATGTTAGCAAGGGCATGACGGTGCAGGGGTGAGTTCCCGGGGCCCCCGTCACCCCCGTCTGACGCAGGTTGATTTGATTTGATTTGTTAC